ACGTAATTGCAGAGATGACTGTATTTATAATTTTTATTCAAAATGAGCGATGTAAGAATTACGATTTAGTATAAGAATCAGTACGAGATACATTGTAAAACTTTATAAATAATAGTAAAAAATATTTTTTTCACTTTTTGACTTGCTAGTTTCAAAATCGGCATTATTCTGAATCGGCGCAAATCGAGGGCTACCTGTAGTGTAAATTGCTTGAAACACAAAAATCATGTGCTTTACCGAAGCCCTTAATTGGAATGCTCAGAAAGTAATATAAATAATGTGCTAAGCAGTGGATGAATGTTTTTGCAATGTGCAGTTCCCAGAAATTAAAAACATAGTATCACAGTGCAAGTTAAAATAATTTGTCTAACACTATGAAACTTTTTGCACAGAATAACCTATCTATCGGTTTCTTTCTGTTTAAACTGAATTCTCACTCATGCTAATAAGATATTGCAGTTTCTAATCATTTTAATGGCTGGCATCAAACATCACATTTCAATAAATTCACTGTAGTGCACTAAGCAGACCCAGCTAACAGCTTAAATAATAATAATGGCCAACTAGAATTAAAAAATGGAACTTTGAAAGGCAACATGATGGCAGTTATCTCATCAGGGTAGCCAGTAGTTTAAAAGAAAAGTGGCCAATCACAAAAAGAGAGAGCATTGGTGCAAAACCCAGAGAATTAAAATTAAATAACATATAAAAATATAAAGTGAATCTATTCCTGCTATGCACCATGTGGGCACTTGGGAGAGAAGAGGTATAGCTTCTACTCATTCTCATTCTCCACATTAGATGGTGGTGATTGGTCAGCATTACACCCCAGCTGTGCTTTATCCCGGGGAATGGTTACTTGGTAGCTGTTGGACAGGAGGCTGGGTGGGCCCCAGAGCTGGTCTGGACATAGAGACTAAAGGAAAAATCCTGTGCCCCTTTTGGGGATTGAACACCAATCATCCAGCTTATAGTACTGACTGAGCTACTGGATGTGTTAATTTTATATAAAAAGCTGTCCCACTATATGCTATGCAGATATTTGGGGGAGAGGAGATAACTAGATGGTGGTGAGTAGTCAGCGTCACGCCCCGTCAATGCTTTACCCCAGGAAGGGACCCCGGTACCCATCGGATAGGCTGTGTGGGCCCCAGAGCTGGTCTGGGCACAGAGACTTAAGGAAAAATCCTCTGCCCCCGTTGGGGATCGAACCCCAGTCATCCAGTTTGTAGCCAGTCACTATATATACTACGTGAAAATGTAATGTATTTGATTCAGCACTGCAATTCATGTATCTGTTTCAGTGCCCCAACTCCCAGTTATTTTAATGATGACAACATTCCAGACTTTCTTGTGAAGTACCAAAATGGACCTGGATATCCTGTATATTACTCTTCAGAGGTATTGCATGACTCATACAACTTTCTCTCAAACTGTGGTATTTATTGGTTGTATTTTGAAGTGAGTTGATAGCAAAAACTTTAGTTGATCAGAAATAACTGGCAATAGATTTGAATACTTAGGTGGAAGCAGTTTATTGTGTGTTATTGTAGTAAGTGAAGAGGGAATAGATTTTTTTCACAGAAATATTTAAGAGGTGAGATTTTGACCCATGTAGGTACAACATTTTCCACTCAGAATACACCACCTGAAGACTGGCAGATTTTCCATGGGCACTCTCGATATAGGTCTCGTGTCCAGTATGTTACATTTCTCAAAAAATTACCCTAATATAAGTTGCATATTTTGTAAGGATCTATTGTCAAACTTTCATGAACTTATGTTAAGCAATTCTAGTGCTGATTCCATCTTGGATGTTTGCACAGCCACCATCTTGATTTTATTGTTGATAGGGCATTAGCAAGTACAAAGGTTAAATGGCATCTAGTGTTCTAATGTTCATATCATGTTTTATTAAAATTCATCAGTCGATAAAGAAGTTATAACAGGAGTACAAACCTTATGTTTATCATCCTTATAAAATAAGAAAAGCAAAGTAAAATTGTATGTTATTTTGAAGACTATTGCTGACTGTTCAGGTTGAAGGAAGCAGCACATAAATACAGAATTTTAGAGTTGCTGTGTCATTAGTATTTAAAGGTTTTAATTCAGATATTGTTTAATATGCTGCAGACTACAGTACTGGATGGAAAGACAGGGATCCCACTGCTAGCCAAGCCAGTTATAGACACTATGGGCTCCCAGATTGGTGGACTCAGTATTAGTATGGAAGGCTTGGGCAATGACCTAATGTTATATTGGAGAGCAAACTGCCTGCATCATGATGGACCTACCAAGCCCTTCAGCTTCATGCCAGGTTTTTATTATATTTACTAGTTCTCTACAGTACATTGTTAGGTACCCACACTAATAGAAATGGGTGTCCTGCGCCGTAGCCGCGCAGTCTGAGGCATCATGCTTTGGACCGGCGATACGGAATGCGCGCTGGTTCGAGTCTCGGGGGAGAAGAAATTTTCTCATGAGCTTTCGACCAGTGTATGGGACCAGTGCCAACCCAGCATCGTGAGGAAATTGGGGAGCTACAATGAGTAGGAAAGCTAGCAATGGCTGGGGGTTCGTCGTGTTGACCACACGTCACTCTGTATCTGGTTGGATGATCGTTCACCTCTGCTTAGGCATGTGAACGTGAGGCCAGCAGTCAAGCTAGTCGGCTTAGGCTCTCTGGAGCTGTTATGCCACGGATTTAATTTAATTTTAATTTTTAATAGAAATGGGAGGCCAAAATAGTGTCATGAAAATCCAATCAGCCGTTGGATCATGTAGTTTGTGGGACCACCAATAGATGGCAGCATGATCTTGGCCGAAATACACAAGAGACATACAGACAGGACAGGCCCTTCAGATGTTCACTTAAAATAGAGCATAAGGGACACCAGAAAGAAACATATACAGTGAA